TTTGACGGATCTTTAAGACGGCCGAAGTTACTGGAAAAACAGAAAATACAACAACTGAAACTTGGAAAGTGGCTAAAATTGTTTGTGAACGTATTTGTCAGCTGGTTAATATTATCTCTATATAGCGGGCAATTCTTTTTCATGTGTTGTTTATAAGACAATTATCAACCTCTCTTTTGTTCTGGGCTGGGTACTATAATATTAACTTCCGTTTTAAGAATAGCTGCAAACATTAATAGTGGTCCTTTTATAGCTCGGACGCTTTTATCGACGTTGTTACGCTATAGCTGTAAAGGTCGACCAAGTTCTTTCATTTCCTTACCGGAAGCTGCGCCTTACGTCTTGCGACACTTTTTGCCGCGCGGTTTTCTCGAGCCTCCGTTATCACCTAGTCAGCGGTTGTTGCAAATGATAACAAAGTACCCGTATGTGCAGACGTGTGGATTCTTAGTTCCTTTCTGCCCTGTCCAGTCATATGTGGCCACGGAAAATTAGTATTTTTTTTCCGGCTGTTTACAGTACTTTTCGCGAAACGGGTCCAGCAGAGTTTGTGGATTATGTGCTGAAAGTGTTACCTAAATACCGTCGTTAAATACAGAGTACGAGATGCGTGAAGTCGTGCTTACTGCTGCCAGTTTGGCACTAACAGGCGCTGTTGTAGCAAATGCTTACTATCAAAAACATCAGTTTTATCCATCTGTTGTGTATCTGACTAAGTCTAGTCCGAGTATGGCGGTAAGTTTTATGTTTAGATTGGCTCGAGAGCCTGAAAAACCCTGCTTTTCGTCACTGAATATGATAAATCATTCAACTGGGTAACCGCATTTGTTGCTTTGACAAGAGCTTTTGTAGTAAGCTTGATTTTTTTTCTCTGCTAGGTTTTGTACCTTCAAGCATTTGTGCTTGTGATTTTGTTCGGTAAAATGATGAGGAAAGTGTTCTTTGGAACGCTACGAGCTGCAGAAATGGAGGTATAATACTTCTTGCTAGTAGTCTGTAGTCTAAAAACTAATGAATGCTTAGGTAAGATTTGTTAAAATTTGTTTGAACTGAGCGCCCAGCCTCAGCATTGAAGACCATACATGTGTTGAAGTACAGGAAGTGAAAGTAAATCTAGCTAGGTTAATTTCCCTTTACAAAATTTCTTCTTTACTCTTTGGATGTTACATTGCTGGGAGTGCTAAGATCAAAATGCAGTATTACTTCATCTTACTGCATAATGTCTGTGCATTATTTCTGAGAATTTGGTGTTGCATTGGACAAAAATTCAAAACTGCCTTTGATTACCTTTGCATGATAACATCAAAGAACAAAGGAGAGCTGGTTGCCCTTGACAGCTCTACGCCCTCTCTGCTTTGGATCACTTTTTGACTCCACCAAACACACACTTGGATGCTCTGTCAGTGTTGTTTTGAAATGTGTACTACTGTATGCACCAAAAGTGTTTTACAGTACTTTTGGACAGAGTGCTACCCAAGATCCAAATCTGATGTGTAGAAACAGATGTGCAATATCAGCACTATTCCCAAGTTGAGAATTTTCTTTTTTCGTCCTTTAGTGTCAGCTATGTAATATAACTGTTTGGTAGTCAAAATAATACAGTCAAACTCAATAGGCCTTTTGTAACAAATTTGTCACCTGACGTGCTTTTCAAGAACATGCTTATTTAGTCAATGGTGATGCATAATGAAATCAGAAATGGAAAGAACATGCAAATTATCAGGCATATATCCTTTCAGGAGGAAGTTTTTATGGATATTAGAAATTAGAAGGATTTGTATGGGAAAAGGACACTTTGTCCTCCAGTCACGCACCAGTGGTTTTCCTTACAAATCCTCGTAATTTCGCAGGTTTTCAAGCTGCAACAAAATCCTTGCCATTTGGTAAGAGATGACAATTACAGCTTGACACCTTCTAGAAAACAAAACTGAAAGTGAAAGAAGGGAGGGGAATTTTGGATTTCTTTATCGACAACAACCCAATATACTGAGATTAAAATTAGAGAAGCATTGTGTAACTGCATAAACAGCCACAGTTTATTGATGTCCTTAATTCTGAATGTCACAAATTTCAATAAGTAATTGCTATTTTTTTGAAATTCAGACTCTTAAATTGTTTTCCATTTCAGCATTTGATTGAGAGATCATGGTACGCAGTTACAGAAACCTGCTTGGCATTCACAGTTTTCCGAGATGACTTCAGTCCTCGTTTTGTTGCACAATTCACTCTTCTTTTGTTTCTGAAATGTTTTCATTGGTTGGCAGAAGACCGCATTGATTACATGGAGAGAAGTCCACTGTTAACATGGCTGTTCCATGTTAGAGCAGTGCTTCTTCTGATGTTTTTAGGCATGGTGGATGCAGTTCTGGTCCATGTTGCTTACAATACAACTATGCAAAGTGGAGCATCAGTACAACTCGTATTTGGATTTGAGGTTAGAAATAGATTAGAAATATCCCACAAGGAAATGTTCATGTTTTGCCAATGCTTATGGTTAGGACCTCAACATTCTGAGCAAGACTGAGATACCTCCAATCTTATTTACTGTCTTCCCACAGAAGAGTTTTATGTGAAATATTCCATTCTGGTAACTTAACTTTACAGAGTTTCTTGGAGTGTATTGCTTGTTGCCTAGCTATAAATTTTGGTGCCAAAGCAACAGGTAATTCAATTCAGCTACACAGACCTTTGTAGAGCTATATGTACTGTATCAGTACAGAATTTTTGCTCAAATCAGAGAATAATTGGATGTTCACTGCATTTAGTAACACAGTTTAACTTCTTTTGTCTGCATTTGATCATTCACAAATTCTACAATCCAAACAATAATGTAACAACTCTAAGACAAGTTTGCTTGTGCTGGTAGTGTGGCTTAGCTCTTTTAAAGAACTTTATGCACGTTATGCCTAATTTTGACTCATGTTTTGCATTACCTCTTGAATTGCAGTATGCCATTCTCTTGACAATAGTAGTAACCATTCAGATGAAGTATGTTCTACATATAATAGACCTCCGAAGTGAAAATCCTTGGGACAACAAAGCTGTTTATCTTCTTTATACTGAGTTAATTACAGGTAAGAGAAAACCAAACAGTGAGCAATTTTTCACTGGCTGAGTGAAACGAAATAAGTGAAAAATGTTTTTCTCACACACCACTAGGGCCTGGGTATAGGTCATGTGACCTGTCAGGCAGGCAGTTGTTTCTGTTGCGCCCACCATTGCCGGAAGTCAGCTTGACATGGCTATCAGTGGTGTGTGAGAAACAGCGATAGTTATGTTTAACAAAACCAGAGCCATCTATGATACTGCAGTCATCACAGAATATCACAGGCAAGTGACAACATGAGGAATCTAGAGAGCATGACCTATAGGCAAGTGTTTTCAACTTTTCTGAAAATCAAATGACTGGTCAGGAGTGTTTTGTGACACTTTAGCATTTGGCTCTGGCTTTTGACTGTATACAGCTGTTTTGAGAAAGGTTGTCCTACAAAAGTGTAGGTGCATATGCAACAATGTTGAAAGGTAGTTTACGGTGGCTTGATTGAAACTCAAGATGTTTCATGGTGATAGAAGGAAATAGCAGAAACACATGTATTCATGCTTTCTCCTTCTTGCAAAAACACTGTGAACCTCAATTAAGCAATGTTAAACCGTTACTGCCCCTATCTTTTTATATTTTTGTCGGACAACTTTGTTGAAACAGCTGTTTAATTATAATTTTTTTTATGTTTATAGAAGTGCACAACGATGAAAAATGGTTTTCTTTGTTTGTGCTTTCTCAGATTAAGGCATTTTTTCCATTTCAAGCACACGTTGAATGTGTAGTTTCAGGAAATACATTGCAATCCGTCTATAACTATGGCTTCCAAAAAAGGCTGCTTAAAATTTGGTAGAGGGTGAGGGTATCTACTGGTAGATATTTTCTCAAATAGGACAATCCAAACTATTGTCAGTATTTTCCTATATGTCGTTGTTACTGTAACAGTTTTCTATCACATTATTACTGTTTCCTCCTTTCCTCTACATTTATATTTCTTTTATTGTGTCTGATGTCCTTTGCAAAACTTCAACTTTTTTTGCATTTTAGGTGCTATCAAGACTGTGCTTTATAGCTGTTTTATGGTCATCATGATCAAAGTACATACATTCCCACTATTTGCAATTAGACCCATGTACCTAACATTAAGGTAAGTCTACGCCAGCCATGTTATCAATCAGTTCTTTCAGCTTGAATCAAGCTTAAGTCAACTTAAAATAAGAATCCTTGCTAATTTAGTAATGTTACAAATGACTGAAATGCAACTTTTAAGCTCTTTTTTTTTACCATAATTTGGGTAAGGAACCAGCTTCCCAAAGTGATTGTAGTTGCAACTTGGGACTCCAGATAGAGTGGTCATTTTTACCAGGGCAAATGCTATGTTGTGTTCCTGGGTTAGATACCATTCTCAAAGTGCTTCCAGCCACCCTGGAACACATATGGGTTATTTACTAAGCTTGTTTAGTCAAGATGGCTGGATATTGGCCAAGTTCTTATTTTTTTGCATGTTTATGGACCGAGACTGAGTTGAAATCCATAGACATGGAAAAAAAAGAATGAGGCCAATATCTAGCCATCTCAATGAAGGATTTATTTTATGGAAAAAACACTACTTCACTGCAGGACATAGTGGGCCGTCCCAAGTAGGCAAGATGCAATGTACCAAAATCTCACCCACTTGGTTAGCCAACACAACGCGGGACTCAGTTTATCTTGCCTGCTCACAGAGCTAGCCATATATTAAAAATGGTTACCAGTTAACTGTTAGGTCAGACTGGCAAGTATTATGGGATAACCTGCTATTCCACCAAAGAGCAGTGCAAGAAACCCCCAGTTGCCTCTCGCTATTGATATTGGCATATGGTCTAGACTGTGGTCAACTTAAGTTCAGTCACAGACTTTAACTTCACCTTAACCACATTTGTTGCTGTTGTTTCATTTCAGAGGATTCAAGAAATGTATCAGTGATGTCATCATGTCTCGGCGAGCCATAAGAAACATGAACACACTGTAAGTATGAACGCTAGTATTAAACTGCTTCCTATCTGTAGAAAATTTTTGGTTGACCAGAAAACTCACTCTTTGAGTTTCCCGTGGGACTTGCTGTCAAGTGCACTTGAAAGATCATCTATGATCAACAGAGCCAAGTTAAAATAAGCTTCAATTTGTAGTCCAGTTTTATGTAGAGTTGCACCAGAATCACTAGCCAAAGGTCATGAGTTTGATCCTATTGAACCCCAAAGTTGCTTCATTACTGCTTGAAGAGTTGCAGCATAACTGCTTAAGATATCTTTTCACTGTTACCTTTACCTGTGCTGCTATAGGTCATACATACCCTTCATTCTTGTTAAAACCTCTCTGTAGTGGCTACCTGTGTACAATTGCCAGTTAATTCTGCCTGAGGGAGGCTGCTTTTTAGACATTCATAGATCTCTCGTCTTCACACTAAACAGTTTCTGCCTTGTTGAAAAGTTCCCTCTGTTCTGTCTCCAACAGTTATCCAGATGCCTCACCTGAGGAGCTCCAACAGGGTGATAATGTGTGCATCATATGCCGTGAAGAAATGACAACAGGCTGTAAAAAACTACCTTGCAATCACATATTCCACACCAGCTGCTTACGATCATGGTTTCAACGACAACAAACATGTCCGACATGCAGAATGGATGTCCTTAGACCTCAACCTACACAACAGCCTCAGCAGCCACCACCACCGCAAGGTCCACAGCCTCCATTTGGCTTTCCTCCTATGGGGGTTCCTCCCACTATGGGAATCCCCCCTGCTCCAGGGGTACCACCCCAAGGTCCACCAAATGGTAAAGAACTTGTTCATTTCACTTTCTTTTTAATGAAGAACTGATCAGATACAATTTATGTCTTAAAGAACATACCTACCTTATGCAAATGTGGTTAAAATCTAAACAATCATGCAATGTCTAAAAACCACATTGGATGTTCTTAGCAATTTGTTGAATGTAAACTCTATACTTTCATAGAACATTATGATTTTCAAGTTCCAAGCCTAGGTTGAAACAAGTTAAAAAGGTTTCTGGAGAAGTTTTTCATTCTTTGATTAAGTCTAACTTGACTTCATGAGAAAATAAGTATTCGTTATTTGCTGCCTAGTGTTGGTAGTGTGAAGATGGAAGAAGATTTAAGTTTTCAAAAACAATGCTACATGTAGCATGAGCTAAAGCACAAGCATTCCAGCAAACACTAAGAAACAAAAGTGCTAGTAGGATTGCAATGTTTTGTTCCCTGTGCTTGGGCTTGCTTTCTCAGTGTTTTCATGAACTCTTGCTGGTGTTTTGGAATTTTAACAATTATTACAGGTACAGTTTACTGTTCATTAGAACTCACAAGGATCTGTTGTGAACATATGCAAAGAAAATGCCTTGCATCATTTGAATGAATTTGATTTTTATTTCAGCTGTTCCAGCCATGTTTCCTGGTTGGCCACCCATGGGTGTTCCTCCTATGCCACCAGGACAACCACCACAGGAGCCTGCACCTGGTGCTGCTGCTGCATCAGCTGCTGCTAGTACTTTACCTCCACAAGGTACAGATATAAAAAATATTCTCATCTTTTCACTTTGTTCCTTCATTCACGTTGCATGATTCCAAACACCGGTTAATTTTTCATTGACTACATGTCATAGGGCCTTATAATATTAAAGGCCTTTTTTGAGCAAGCACCACTCAAGATTCAACTATGATATAATCATAACACTTCTATCTTTCTTCTGATAGGTCCAAGTTCAACTCAGGATGCCAGCCAAGCTCAGGTATTGCACTTAAAAACTTTAAATCAATTATAATAAGTAACACTGAGTTAAAGTCTTTGAGGGAGGGTTAAAATATTGCACTCAGAGACCATGGACATCAAAGGGAAAATCAAGGAGGCCATCCACATCAGATGCCATCACAAACATTAACTAGATAAACTATAAACTTAACTACAATATCTGTTAGTATTAACCACTTGTTGTTACGTGACAATGTGAGCTCACTCTGCTGAAGAAAACAGTGAGATATAGTCAAAAGTTTGTTTGCTTTTCATTTCAGAACTTGTGAAGAGAATTATTATTTATTGCTCTTTTGTTTGTTTGGTGTTTTCAGATGCCAGGTTTTGGCATGCCTCCACCATTTATGTTTCCACCACCCTTTATGATGCCGCCCTTTATGTTTGGTGAGTCATTTTGATTTATGTTACCGGTAGTTTCAAAATAATTGTGTATCTCATTATAGTGGTTCAGGAACTCAAAGTTGCTATCAAGTTATAGAGAGAATTGCAGTTACGAGTCAGCCAGCAAAGTCAGTACGTGTAATTGAGATCTTAATAAATATATTAATTAATAAAATGACTACTCTCTCAATGCAGAGATGTGGCGGCCTCGCGGTCAGCGCGCTCGCCTCCAGATTGAGTGGTCCAGGTTCAAGCCCTGGTCGAGGTTTACTGCTGAATTCAATGCTGGGGGTTCATTGTGGCTTTTTTCAGTGCAAATGACAGCAAACAGTCAAACAAATATTGTAAATTAACATAACATTGCAATGATGGCACAATCAAAGAGAATTTAAGTTTTGATATTTGAAATAAGCAAATGATGTTTCTTTTCCCTTGAAGTGTTTTCTAAAAGAAATATTAAACATTTTCTCTATTCTTCTAACGAGCTGGCGAAAAACTTGTGATAGTTTGGGAAGACTAAAAAAGATATGGCAACGCGTGCTTGTGGCTCGTGTTCCCATAGCATTCTCATTCTCACAAACTTCCACCGTTGTTTCTATTTAGCAATTAGATTATTCGTTCGAGATTTCTATCATGCGATAGTTGACGAGGGTGCAGCCCAAGTCAACTATCACACATAGAAATCAAGAGCAAATAATCTAATTGTTTTACTATAAATTTACTAGTCCTTCAAAATTCACAGACACCTTGAAAACGCAAAGAAGCGGCCATCATTTGTTAACAAGCGCACACTGCTATGCTTCTCACTATCTATCACAGAATAGATAGTGAGTAGAGTAGCCAATCAGAGAATGGCATTCCTGATAGAACACTAGCGGATTTATACTAAAACTGAATAGAAACAGGAGAAATGTTTGTCAGTTCACAACATCTGACAAAAACATAACAAGCAAATATAATTATGGCCCCTGTATTAAGGCACAAGTTTTGTAAGAAAAGGTTGCATAATTGCCTGTTTGTATTCCCCTTGCAGGCATTTACGACTTTTTATCTGTTTTCAGGTGCTCTGAGCACTCCACCCAGTGTCGACTTTTCATCTTTGAATGTTGAGCAGTTAGTAGCAGTTGAGGGTCAAGAAAGACAGAATGTGGAGGCCAGAATCAACATGTTACGAACTGTGCATGCCCTACTGGATGCAGCCATAATACAACTCAATCAGTACACTCAGATGGTAAACATGCAGAGGTAAATTAAATCATCAAAGCCTATAGTGTGTGATCTGGATAGGTGCAAATCCATGCTGGTTTCCACCATTCTATGGAAATCAGCCAGATTTGTCATCATGACTCAGAAACCCAGGAAGGGGACTTTAGGCAGTTAAAATCCAAAACATTTCCTGGGTGGGCATGACCCCAATCCTCTCTAGAAGCTTGCTCCTTCAGTGCTCGTTGTTTTAGAAATCATTAATTTTTCCTTGACCTGTGTCTGATGGAGATGGTTTGTGGCAATAAATTATACTACAGAACCTCCATTTTTCGACTCACCTAGGGGAACAGAAATTGGTTTTGAAAACTTGGGAGATTCGGTAAACTGAACGTAAATATTATGTGACAACGAAAGATTGCATCCAGTTATCATGGGCTCAAAAAATCAAGGATTCGAAAAAGCATCACAGGGTCGTAATTCGTGCAGATGGCTACAGCTTCACAATCTTTTGCATGCATTGCTTGATAAAAAGCTGTTTTGAGCCTGCTACAGCCTTCGTGTGTCCATCTTCTGGAGAACTTGTATAGATAGTTTGATCCTTAGCCTAAGGATATAGTGTTGCTCTTTCAGTCAACCACCCATCAACCAGGCTCAGGCGTCAACTTCACCAGGACCCTCGGGATCAGGGACCGTGGGAGCAGGTCCATCGGGATCAGGGACAACAGAAGCAGGTCCCTCGGGATTAGGGACGGAAGGAACAGGGCCTTCGGGATCAATGACAGTCGGAGCCGGACCCTCGGGATTTGGGACGGTACGGGAAGCGGCGACAACACAAACAAAGTTGACAGCCGGGGTATCGCCAACTTCGCAACCAGGGCCTTCCACGGCGGCTGATTCTTCATCTTCGGAGGGGTCAGTCTCAAAACCTGTAGCTTCTGCAGAAAAGGACAATTCACAAACAGAACCTGACTTAAGCGACGAGAACTCTGAAATAAGGCGACGTAGATTGGAGCGGTTTTCAAGCACCGTGAGTCAAGAAAGTGCTAATAAGGACTAGAGGGACTGAGAAGGACTGAATATTCCCAAAAATCCGGCAGGAACTGGCGGCGATTAGTGTGGACCGAAAGCAACGTCAATTGAGCGGTGTCTCTTAGTTTAAAACATTATTTAAATTCTTAGTTCGCAGACAGTCCTATGTAGCGAATATTCCGGCAATTCTGCTATGCTGGACAATATGGGTCACCAAGGGACAACTGTCTCAGTCCTTTCCACTGTTGAAAACCAAACCCGGACTCAAGAAAACAGGGGAAATTGACCTAGAGAAAAGGAACATGATAATCATTTCTATGCAGTGCTTTAAAATAACAAGTAATAGTATATTTTTCATATTCGTAGAAATATACTTAAAAAGTCATTATTGGTCAAGAGATGATGAGCAGAATAGTCGGTTCCCGTGATAATCTTTTTTTAGATTGCACAGTGGGATCAAGTCCGAGGTGGGATCCTTCGAACGATCGCTTTTCGTCAAAAACCACCTCGTCAGGACTTGTTTCTTGCATCTTTCCCAAACGTAACCTAAATATAGAACATGTAGAGTTTGTCACGAGCGCAACTGGTAACACTTACGTGATTGGTTGATAGTCGCGAATTCGTTAAGTTTTGAAACGATTCGCTGATTCTTTAGCCTGCGAGAGCATCCGGTTATTTCGGCTCTTGTTTTACGCGACGATTTTCGGCGGAGACAAGCGACAGCTAGGAAAGGAGCCCAGATCGGACTCCTGAGAGAAGCGGAAATCGAGCCTAAGCGCTGCAGCCGGAAATATACCTGCGTTCACAGACTACTGATTCATAGGTATGTCAGGAAAATCGTAGACCGTTCACAGCCCTCTGTTTCTTCGTATTTTCATTCGATCGTTGAACGTGCACTCTTCCTTTAGGCCCGCTTCGCTGGCGTCCCCGCCCCCACCCACTCTTTCTTCGCGCTCGCTTCACTGGCTTTTTCTTTCGCGTGCGTTGGAAAATAGAGAGGCTGTGAACAGTTTGGGAAAATCAGTTCCTTCTTATCGTCTGTTGATTTAAAAGTGTGAATTTGAACGAACGAGGTGTCACCTTTGAACATCAAATCCTAAATTGTATAGAAGGAACAGAAAACAAGTTTGTTTACTTAGCCCGGTGTAAACTTTCAATCAGGCTACGTTAGCAAGAAGTATCGTTTCCTGTTTCTTTTGTAGAATTTGGGTTTGAATTTTAACGTGACTCCATAACTGTTTACACAGCCTCGTTAAAATAGTTTTATCAGAGTGCGTCAGAACTGTCTAAAATGGAGTTGCGAAAAAAGAATCGTAAAGGGTTGTATGTAGTAAAAACTAAATTAAATTGTAGGTTTTTCATACAAGAATACAGCTTTCTGTCAGCTTCAACTACAACCACTCAAGCCCGGGAGGTGGGTTAAGAGTTGGGTATAAATTTTCAAAACATCTATCATTTTTCCGAAGATTGTCGAAGATTTCCGAGTAGCGTCCGAAGATTTTCGACGCTTAAGCCTTTACTCCGACTCCGCGGAGTATTGTTTATGTAGATTATACTTCATTCCAAAGCTCATTGCCACTGATTCAAATTGCCAAACATGTTTATGGAAAAAAGCTCGACTAACACCGTCCCGAAAACCAATTGAAATATTGCTTAGCTTTACTAGTTTTTAACGGCTCTACTTTTTAGGAGTGAAAATGCTTTTCAACGACACAAATAAGGAGATTGGCTTAGGGGTGGGCGTGCTGGGGGGAGGCGGAAGGATCAAGAGATTCGTTATAGGCAGGAATTTGTTTAACCCTTTCATGCACAAGGAATTTTTCTCTCGAGACGTGTGTACACGTGTTATTTTTTTCTCTATACGGCATGATTTTTTTCAGCTCAAAGAACGTGCGTGAATTCGTTTTCGGCAGTGGTCGTGTGCATGAGGGTTGTTTTGGTACAAGTATGCTAGATGCAGGATATTTTTTCAAAATTACCCCCGCCCCCCCACTCCCACCCTCAAAGAAAAAGTCAAATGTTCCCTCCGTAAGCATTTTCATTGTCAGTTTTAGGCAACTGCAAGTGGAGCTGCGCGCCAAAGAATACTCGGTGCACTTATGGCATTCACCCATGAAGTATATACCTAAAATAGGTTTCTGAAAATAGCCCCACCTCCTGAAAAGTCAGACATGCAGATGCATGGTTTTACTCAATGTCGCGATCAAAATGACGACTTAAATCGAAATAGAATATTTTTGTTTAACCTAAAATAGTGGAAATGGAAAAGCTCATTCATTCCTAATTCTTTTCACGTTCCCTGGGGAATTTTTCTTCCAGAAACTGCTGTAACAGTGCCAGAAAAAAACCTTCTGGCAAAACGTGTCCAACCGGAAACCGGGACGAAACTAAAACTCTCAGTCTGATATGCGTCGATTATTTCCCCACTTTTCTACGTTGTTACATGTTACGACCTTTATAACCCAAATGTCAATGCTTTTTCATGTAACTGCTAAACGCTTTGAACTTAACTGTGCGCACGTGTTCGTCTGAACGACGGCTTTGACGTAATTTCCGGGCGCGAGCGCGAACAATTTACGTTTACAATCGTCGCCTGGCAACTGTAGAGCAATTTATATACCGGCTTCCCGCAGACATTTCAAATGAAAGTTTTGAACATTTTACAGTTCACAACAAATTGGATTTCTTTAAGGAACGAGCAGCTCGCCGGAATACTGAGAAATCGGAATTAGTGACGTGGTGTAACATAAAAACGCTTGGAATTTTGACTGCAATTTTATACCGTGATCGATATTGGAAGGGAAACCCTTTGTTGTGGAAGACTAAGTCGTCTTGCACCCTTCGGCGGAACACCAAAATACAACTCCGTAAGATTTGTGACAATAATAACAATGAACTTCAACAACCGGTGAAGAGCTACTAGAAGTGGCTTTACGGTATGGGTTGCGGAGCCTCTAAAGTTACACCACAGAACGGCGAAGAAGCGAAACCTTTACACGCCAATGGTAACAAAATCGAACACGACTCGAGATCAAATGGCCACGCCAACGGCAGCATTACTGCTGCAAAAGCGAACGGTTCAGGAGAGTTAAACAACAATCAAAACAGCACTCGACTGAATGGAAACATAAATGTAAAGCCACAGGGAAACGGCGATGCTGTTAATTCGATTTCAAATCGAGAAGTCTTTGACGAACAAGATATAAAAGAATCACAGCAATCTCCGACACAAGGTAAGTGGATTAAACTTTTTCCTAAACTAAAATACTGGTGGCATATTTTTGGCTCATAATCCTTCGGGTTTAATTCACGAGCAATTTTAATAGACTTCGCTTAACTCCATCGAAAGAATCCAGATAATTGATTTATCATAATTTTCAGTGTAAATTACATGTGGGTTTAATATTGTGTTTTAAACTCTCCCGCGGCGTATGACCAATTCAACATTTTGTTTATTGCACCGTAAATTTTATCAAACTGAAATTAAATTTTAGGCATCTTTCAATAAGAGTTTTTTGTTTGGCATTCACTGCAAACATACTCGTGTACTTAGTAAGCATTCTTTAAGGCGAGATCTATTTACCAAGGAATGAAGCCCATTATTTCGTTGTGTATATAGCAACTCTTTGTTATGTTGATACGGCAATATTGCTGTTGTTGTTAATAAAACTTTGTAATTTTAACTCTTTGGGGTTTGCCATGAGTGTGACGAATTCTGCAAATCTCATTAAGTAGGAAATAAAAATTGTTTGGTTATTTAAAATACACTGTTTGTTTTACCGGCGACAAAACAATTTTGCATAAATATATTCTCTTTGACAAAGCGGCAAAGTCAATTTTCACTCTTCAAGTTTACATCTGCATAATGCTTCAGGTTATCCAGTGTTTGAAAATAAGAAATTATTATATTTTATTTAAGTACTGCACATATTGTTTTTCTTGTTTTGTTTTATACTTTTACAATTTTGACATGTTCCAAGTCAGCCGAAAGTTTTAAAAAATACCAACACAGTTCACTTCTCGTATGGCTGGTGGAGTGACAAGTATCGCGACCTGATATTCCTTTCAGTCACGAAATGTCTTGAACTGCATGTATTTAGGGGTGCACCATTTAACTTTTGAGGTAACGTGCGAGGGTTGGGTGATTTGGTATTAAGAAATGATTTTTCTTTTAATTCTTTCATGTACTAGGAAGTTTTTTCAAGACTTTTGCATGCATGAATTTTCTTGTTCATGTAACACGCTTTTTTGGTTCGCGTAATGTGCGTGACATTTCCTTTGGGCAGTGTTCGCGTGTACGAATTTTTTTGGTACAAGTATGCGTGTAGGATACTTGACATACTTTTATTCAAAAATCGCCTGCTGTGCAAGAAATAGAATCCCATGTTTCCCAGTCTGGCTCCAGCCTTTAATACAATGTCAGTCAGGGGGATGAAATATTTTCATTTTCATCAGTAATTCTTCATTAAAGCCATAGTTAATAGAGGAAGCCAGGCAAACATCAAAGTAGCAAACAAAGATTCCAAGATTTATGTTGGAAGGTCCACGACCGTGCACGATCTTTTGTTTTGCCCTCATACAGTAAGCATGAATTACATAACTGACACGTTAGCAGTGCCAAGTAAACAACTATTGTGTTCTGTGCACAGTCAAGGCCAAAAAAGTGAACAAAAACATACAACAAAAAACTTTGTCAGGTTTCACAACCATTAAGGTTGGCACACACAAAGGGGCTACTCCCTGCAACTAGTCCCAGGGGGGGGCACTGCCATATATGGGCTATGTAGGTATGTGCCGCTGTGAAGGGTATGGTTTTTAAGCAGTTTACTCTAGGATAGGGTATATAAATCAGAGCTTTTGGGTCTAGAATAGGGTATCATTTTTCACAAAACTGACTGGTTGATTGAAGATTTCATCTAGACTAAGGAAACCAGGAATTGCCACTCAAAAATATAAAAAAATCAAATCGGCAAGTTTAAATTTACGCAAATTAGCCGCAATA